TATCGTCTCTCTCTCTCTCTCTCTCTCTCTCTCTCTACACACACACACACACACACACACACACACACACACACACACACACACACACACACACACACCCCTCTTCTCATGTTTACATGAAGGGTGTATGAACAGGAGAATAGGCATAGTTTAACAATTTGCACACTGTTTTCAAGTATCAGGGGGTAGCTGTGTTAGTCTGTATCCACAAAAACAACAAGGTGTCCGGTGGCACCATAAAGATGAACAGATTTATTTGGGCATAAGCTTTCGTGGGTAATAACCTCCCTTCTTCAGATACATCTTAAGAAGTGAGGTTTTTTACCCACGAAAGCTTATGCCCAAATAAATCTGTTAATCTTTAAGGTGCCACCAGACTCCCTGTTGTTACTGTGTTTTCAGTGTCTGCAATAGCTCTGTGTGAATTAAATGCTGGTCAGTTCTAAATGTAGTTAGGAAAATGTAAAAAGAAGTATTTGCACATGCAGTTTCCAGCTGCAGACGTCTAGGAATTTACAAATGCTAATTTATTCAAAGTTCGAGTGGGTGTTTTTATGGGATTTAAATTTTGCAGGAAATAGACGTGTGTTTTAAATTGGTAGTCCTGAAAGTAATTTTTCTTTTCACTACTGTAGGAAGAATTTGAATAATTTTTGCCTTTAAATGGTTTCAGATATTTTCCCAATATTTTGTCCCTTCTGCCAGTAAAGCTCTCTGTGGTGTGACTTGTTGACATATATCCATTTGATTAACCATGGTATTGAGACTACATAAAGCAGCTGCTTTAAGCTGAGATCTTAGATGATACTTGTTTTTGAGAATTGCAGTAAAAATCTGTCAAGTACAAGACTGAGTTGTACCATTTTCATTTTTGATCTATGAGAGCTTGACAGTGAAATTCTTGATATAAAAGTTATACTCATGGCTGGAAAGCTTAAAATTAGACCTTCAAACTTTGGTTTGGTGTTCTGATGTGCATGTTGCCCTGTCTTTCTGCTCTGCATGTCTGTTTCATTATTTTATGAGCAGACAGGTCTTCAGAAGTTATAAGTGCCTCTGTGAGTTGATGGGATACAAAAACCTTTTACCTTTTGTTGTCAGTTTTAAATCAGAATTGATAATGACTGAAAATCATTACAGTCAGATAGCTAGTTTAGATCCTTGTGTGAAATGAGTTTTATGGTTTGTCTAGTTCCTAGCAAACATACCAACCAAAAGAAAAAAATCCTCTCCATCGTAGTTGTTGATTGTCAGCAGACTACCTTGCAGTGTTGGTGTGAAAATGTGGAAAATGAGCATGGTAGGCTATGTCTGCCACCCGGCTGAAGTGCCATTACATTTAGGAGGGATTCTGATTTAGGCATTGTCATAATCCCATAGGCAGTAGCTTCATCCCATTGGCTCAGCCAAGCGCATTCATCAAATGTCTGAACTTGTGGTTCCTTTTATACTGAGCAGGATTACTATTGCAGAAGAACATCAGTAGGGAAAACTAACCAGCCTCACAATGGTCTAAACCCAGCTCATGTTTCATATTATTGGGTGAACTATCCAATGCTTGGTGAATTCAGCTTCACAATGATAGTAAGAGCTGACATCAAAGGATCAAAAAGCATCATAGTTATGAATGCTTAGCTGCCACAAACCAATTATCCCTGTGGTAACTTTTCTGACACCTATTCTCAGCATTGTTTATTTTAATGTTTAGCATAGACAGAAATGCAAATATAATTCACCACCCCCATATGGATAACTTTATTGTCCAGTCAGTTTGAAAAATTCAGCTCTTCAATTTATTGGGGGAAAAGATTCAAACGTTACAAATTTGTCAGAAAAGATGAAGAATCTTTTTTAAATGTTCTATGTTAAGATGAATAGAAATATTTTTACTCTGTCAAACCTTTGACACATCTCTGCAGAGATGTGTCAGAAAGTAGTTCTAACACCTTTTTAATATTGGAGTATCTTACAACCTTCTGGTATGGCGTGGATTTGTCTACATGCTATGCATTTTGCTTCCAAAGAGATTCACTTAATTTTTTTTTATAAGAGAACATTTTTCTTCCAACTTCATGTACTGATACAACAGAAGGAAGGTAGATTAGCAGTGAAGACTTTGAGAGTAGGGGGATATGTTGGCGGTCTTGGTTTTGTTTTAAAACCATGCTTTAAAGAAGTCACTTTGAAATAAAAAATTATGTATGTGGACTTTTGTAACCAGGATATATTTAAAAGATGACTTGTCACTTTAGAACTCTAAGTTTACAGAGAACTTGAATTGGCTGGTTGCAACTGTCCACTTCTATGCAAGTAGAGCTGGGAAGCACTAGATGCAAGCAGTGAACATTCCATTGCATCCTACAGGTAGTAGCTGGGGTCAGGTGGAGCCCTATTCATCTCTCCATGTATTCAGTAGTAGTATCAAAAGAGATGTTGCGTTTTAGGTTTAAAATTTAATTTTCAGCTGTAGCAATTCCAGAATCCATCTTGAGGAAAAGTGTACAAAAATTGAATGGATGCACAATTCTTGAGTTCTTCACTTGACAGTCCTGTCTCACAAGTTCTGCCTTTCTGCTTGAGCCAAACCCCAGGCTTTCAGCCATCAGAGAAAGTTGTTACTCAATATTTGTATTGCTCTGACTGCTTTCTCATCCACTCAATCTCAAGTCAGATCTAGTTCAGCAGTAAATCTCTGCTGGGAATGATCAGAACAAATAGTGTGTGCTTGAAGATATTAAAAAATCAGTGGAACAAACACAAACTTATTTAACAATGCCCAACAGCCTTTTATAATACTTGGAATATCTTGCCAAAGTGGACTGAGTATCATTTTGTATTTCATTACCTTTCCTTTTAGATAGAGACATAATATCGGTGGAGGAAAAACAAGTCATAACATTTGTACATCTCCATTAATTATTTTTTATTCTTATCTTTATACAAACGTGTATGGCTGGTAGCTTGTTCTAATTCACTCTGATGTCCAATAGGAATATTCTGACATTAAGCAAGTATTTTACAATGACCATAGCACATGGTTATTTTATAGTAAATGTGTCCCTTTTACATGTCTCTATTTTAGCACTTGCTTTCATGCTCTATGAGTCAATGGAGTCCTGAGGATTATATATAATACAGGGGAAACTTAAATTTATTGTGGTTAATAAAGAGGAGTGAGTCACAAAGGGGAGTAAAAAGAACAGGAGTACTTGTGGCACCTTAGAGACTAACAGATTTATTAGAGCATAAGCTTTCGTGGACTACAGCCCACTTCTTCAGATGCATATGCATCCGAAGAAGTGGGCTGTAGTCCACGAAAGCTTATGCTCTAATAAATTTGTTAGTCTCTAAGGTGCCACAAGTCCTCCTGTTCTTCTTTTTGTGGATACAGACTAACACGGCTGCTACTCTGAAACCAGAAATTATTTTGGAGTTGGAAAATCCACACTGGTGGCCATTCTCATGCAAATTTGCAAGGCAATCATCTTCTGCTATGCAGGAGTGTGACTCTCAACAATGTGCAGGACATAGTGGATGGATTTGCAGCAATGGAGTTCCTGAACTGCCTGTAGCGATAGAGGGCAGACACCTCCCTATTTGGGCACCAGCCCACCTTACCACCGAGTACCTCAACTGAAAGGGCTACTTTTCAATGGCTTTGCAAACACTGGTGGATCACTGGGGACACTTCACTAATATTAATATGGGCTGGTCAGGGAAAGTATAGGACAGTCACAGCTTTAAGATCACTGGACTGTTCAGAAAGCTGCAAGCAAGGGACATCTTTTCTGATCATTTACCACTTGAAATTGAAAAGCCAATAGTCCTGGGGGACCCAGCCGTCCCCCATTCATGAAACCATACGCTGGTTTGAGTACTGGCTCTGCAGGTATAGAATGACAGTTTAATGTGCTTTTGGTAGATTGAAGGGACACTAACTCTTTATCACTAGCTAGGATTTCAGTGAGAAAAATATGCTAATGGTTATAGCTGCCTGTGTTGTGCTGCATAATACGTGTGAGGCAAAGGTTGGAAAGCTGCCACCAGGATGGATGATGGTGGAGAGTCTGTCTGCTGACATTGAACAACAAAACACGAGGGCTCTGGAGCTATGCGTTTGAGGGAAGCTTTAAAAGAGCACCAGAACTTCGGGTGCTTACAGTTATAACTATTACTGTGTGTTTTAGTGAAGCTATGAATTATGTGGTGCTTTCTGTACATTTATAAATATGACTGGGTGTTTTCCTGACCTTTTTATTTCTGCACAAGCATTGTGTGCTTGAGTACCGCTATGCATTCAACAGTGTGTTGCAAGCTAATAAAAATAATTTTATTTTTTAACAATAGAAATTTATCAAGTGGCAAAACCAGGGCAAAAGAAAAACGTGCAAAAGGCAATGCAACACAAACTTTTAACAGAGTTACAGAACTTAAAAATTGGAAAGGCAGCAAACATTTCTGTCCATATCAGTCCACAAATGTAGTGCCTTGTAGCTACACATACACCTGCCATGGTTCTCACAGGTCAGTGTTTATGAAGTGATGGTTTTCCTTGCTGTCCCCTGGTGTGGAGTGTTAGGGATATTTATGTGCACTGTGATGTCACCTGGTATGTTGGGAGGGGTAATGAACTGCTACCATGGAGTTCTCTGAGGATTGTAAAGGGTGGAGAGTCTGATTTTTAAACCAATAGGTCAACCAGGGTCTGCAACATTTGGGCTTGGTGCCTGAGAAGACCCATTATATCCTGGTACATCTCCTTGTCCTTTTCCTACTGGGACCCCTGAGCCTTTCTCAATGCTGTCGATCATATTGGTCCTCCAGGTCCTTCATTCAAGGTCTGATGCAGCACTGGCTTGCAGGATCTCGCAGAACATGCCCTCCTTTGTCATCTTCTTTCTTTGCCTCACCAGGGTCTTGCATTCTACAGATGTGGAGGAGGCACCCTTCAAGACTGCAAAGGCAGCAGCTGCTGATAAAAATAGACAGATGGATCATTGGAAAAATGATCAATGGAAAGAGAAAGATAACTTTCAAAACTCCCTTCCTTTATTCCCATAACAACTTCTAATAAGACATGCTTGTTGACACTTCAGCTTTGGAGCACCTCAGCACAGCATCGCTCTCTAGTCCCAGCCATGGTGCCCATTTGAGGGGGCAGAAAGAAATTTTGGCTGCATGAAACAATAAAATTGCAGTCCCTATTCCACGGGTGCAAGTGTAGGGCAACAGCACTGAACATTTAAACTATTTTCCACAGTCAGGGCTGGTTTTAACTGATATCCAGGCATCCTAGAAATTTGTTTGCCACGGAAAAGTGTGGAATTTGCATTTTTATAGAGAATCTTTAGTTTTTATATTTTTTGAAAAATAAAAACATATTTTAACTAAATTTTACTAAATTTACTGAAAAATAAACATATATTAACTAAATTTTACTGAAAGTACCAGTGTCACTTATTGCAATGCGTGCAATCTCCCCCTCTTGTGGTTGATTTTTGAATGTGTTTTAAATTTACATAGCTAAACATATTCCATTAAACTGCTTCCGGCATATAGGGGGTTTTGTGTTTTAATGCATCTCAAATTTCACTTCAGCCTCCAGATGTTAATAATTAAAGTTATGAAAAGGTGCCAAAAATTTAAACTCACCCCTAAAGAGTTTGGCAAGGTTCTGTACTGTATGCAGCAAGGCTGTAGATTATGTTTGAAGGCAGACAATTGCAATTCTATTAATTTGATTATAATAATTGATGGCACTGGTAGGCTTTGAACTTGCTTAAAAATTGCAAATATATCAATAACGCTTTGTGTTCAACTGATACCTATATATATTGTGGCTAGGGAAACTAAAATTCAGCGTTCCATTTTAATCATGGAAAAACATGGATTTTTAAGGTTGGGCTGTTTTTTTTAGAATTTTGATTTTTTTTATCCTTGTAAACTAGGATCACTAATGATATCTTACTCCTAAGGGTAATAGAGGAACAGAGAGCATAGCTGCTACTGGCCTCCCAAAGCCACGTGTGTCCACGTGCCACTAGCTTGTTTACTGCAATGGTGCCTGCCGAAGATATTGTAAAGTGGCATGGTAAAGTGTCCTGTGGCAGAGGAAGAAATAAGGCAACCATGCCTAGAAACCTTTAAGAGAATTTGCAGAGTATCTCCATGAAAGTTTCACTGTGATCTCTCAGGAAGATAAAAGGGGCATCACTATGTACATAAACAAACTGCTCCTTATTTCCCTTCCCCCTGCCTTATCCAATAGGGAAGTAGATACCTATTCTACCTCTTCTTGTATGAGCAAAACAATTAAAAGCAGATACCACTGCTTGTGAACTTGTGGATGGGCCAGGCACCATCTTTAAATTTAAATTTGCTAAGGAAAATTGTATGTACACACTTACCAAAAGTCCCTTCCCCTTCATAGGTCTCATCCATGTTTGGCTGGCTGGACTGTTGAGGGCTATCAAACAGGTCCTGGCTCATGGCATGGCTGGAGTCCCCATGTCTGCCTCCTCCTCTCCTCCTCCTTGCTGTTTAGCAGGAGTTTCTGTCTTGTGGTCCGCCAGGGTATCCACAGTAGTTTGGGGGGTGCTGGTGTGGTCTCTGCCAAGAATAGTATGCAGCTTGTGGTAAAGGTAGTAGATCTGTGCTCAGCATCAGATCAATTGTTGACCTCCCTGGCCTTGTGGAATGCCTGCTGCAATTCCTTCACTTTCACGCGGCATTGCTGATAGTCCCTGTTGTAACCCTTCATGTACATCCCCTGTGCAATCTTTCCCTAGATGTCCATCTTTCTACAGCCGGTCCATAACTGTGCTTCCACAGCCTCTTCTCCTCACAGGTCAATATATCGCCTGTGTTCTCCAGGCAGGAGAACTGCTAGTGTGTGGAGCTGGCATGGTCGGCTGGGCAGTTGCACACAACAAGGAAGAACTGCTAGGTGCACTTGCCAAGATGGGCAATCAAGAAAAGACATTTCAAAAATGCATGGGAAATTTTAAAGGGGCATGGCTTCCCATCTCTATGACTCCTGGACAGTGGAGTTTACAATTGTGAGCAGAGCAGTCACTATTACAAGGAATAGGGTGTTGTAGGACAACAGCTAGAAGACTGTTAGGGTTGACCCAGGTCATGGAGTCTATACACTTGCACCGTATTGACTTTAGTAGGTTGACTATGGCTCTAACCCCTTTAGGGAAGTGGTTTTATTACATTGTTGTAATCGGGCATTTACGACAGGCTTTAGTGTAGACATATGCAAAATAAGGTCAATGCAAGATAACGTACATCAGCCTAACTTTGTAGTGTAGATAGGGTGACCAGATGTCCTGATTTTATAGGGACAGTCCCGATACTTGGGGCTTTTTTTATTATAGGCTCCTATTACCCCCCACCCAGATCCTGATTTTTCACACTTGCTGTCTGGTCAGCCTAAGTGTAGACCAGGCCTCCAGGTCTCAAACATACAGCTCGCCCTGGAACCATACGATAGGGATAGGGCTGTTATGCAAGTCCTACACTGCACAGAGAATCCTTATTGTGTTGGCTGCTTTCTGGCCCCTTGCAGCAGTGATTTGGGATTCTAGATTTTTTGGTGTTTCATTCAGATAGTAAAGTTTACTGTGATAGGCAGTAGACCATGCTGGACATTACAGACCCAATGAAATGCTAAAAGACAAGCCAAGAGGATTAACATTAGTAAAATTATACTAATCTATACACAGACAAAAGGAAAAGGCAATTAATAAGCCTACTATCCAATAGTTTAGCCATAAATGTAGGAACCTAAGCAAAATACAAATATTTTTGCTTTTTTTTTAATTAAAAATGGGGTGGGGGGAGAAGTTGGCTTGGATTTAAACATTCTCTTGCAGTGTTTACAACCCCAAAATTGTTTCACTGAGTAGAGCATGTGAACCAAAAAAAATCAACCTCTTCACTTTATCACTGACCAAACGCTAGATATAGAGCATAACTGGTGAAAAGAAATGAAGTTTTTAAAATGCTGATGTTTAGTTTGATTGTGACCTTTCAGACTAAAAACAATCAGTACAGTTGGTTTAAAAGATAAAAAAAAATTAGTGTAATATCCCAAAAAATTATGTTGACAAGTAAGGAAAAGAAAAACTGTGGAACGGTCAGTAAAAAATGGATAAAAGATAATTAAATGTTAACACTGGCAGATGTTTAACAAAAAATGTACTATTATTTTGTCAGAAGATGGCAGCAAAGATGCAAGTTTCTTCAGTGTATAAAACTAGTTGCAAGGGGGCGACCTGTTTATGACATTGGATTCAGAGAACACTATTTCTGAGATAAAAAAACAAAAACTATTGAGCTCTTGTATGATCACCTCACGCTCAGGCAGTTTAATTACCGATGGGAGAATTAATTGAGCCAGCACCTCAGTTGGTGTAAATAGTTGTAACTATTGATTTCAATGGAGTTATGATGATTATTACCAGCTGAGTGTCTGGCCTGTTTTGCCTAATGTCAAACTCACTTGAAAGTTGTGGTTGGAAAGACTGACTGGAATTAGAATGTTATTGGGTTCACATTCTGCTTAGGAGAGACTGAAAAAAGGAGCCAAGAAACAAAAAAGGCCAGTGAAATAATAGGGAGAAAAATTGCAATGAGACTGTGAAACAGAGAGACTGGGGCAAGGGAAGTGGGAGTGATGAAATGGGGAAGAGGTAAACATTTTAATAAAAAAAAATACCACATACCCAGGCCACCCACTTGTACTAGCCTCTTTTGGGGGATCCTTTTAGCCTAATCTGCGTAGCACAGCTTCCCTGTAGGTAGAAAAATATGTTTTAACTTTTTCATGTTTGGTTTAAATGAAGTACCCTTGTAGGAGGAATAAGGATTCAAGGAAGAAAAGGTCCACAAACTCTCACTAGTTTTGCAAACAAAAACATATTTGAAAAGTTTGCAAAAAGCTGAACTCCATGAAATTCATCCATCCCTACCTAGTGTTAACAGCACGTAACTTCAGGCAGGAAGTTGGTCTTTTTCATGAGCCCTTCACTGCTGGACTGGCGGCAAAATCCACCCTGCCATTGAATTTAGTGTCAAAAATCTAGGTTTTCGTCTTTAAAATATAGAGTTTTTAATTATAGCTTCTTGCCTTTATGGTTTTGAACCTTCTAAATGGAATCTGATGCAGTGTTGTGCTCTGGAATCTGCAAATAGCCAGGAACTATAGACACCTAAACCATCTACTTCATATAACTCTTTTTCTATTATTTATTTTTATTGCTCTGTTCGGTAAAGTGGCATATATAACGTGCCCTTTTCCCCCAGAGACAATTGACAAATGCCCACATATGAAAGAGCAGAGTCCAAAGCAGGAGTGAACTAATCCAAAGGGACTGTTTCTTTTCTCCAGTTTTTGGTGAATTATCTTTGGTTGGGCTGGTTTGGTAAGGTGAAAAGCCTCTCTGAATGATGCCAGTAAGGCAGAAGAGAAAGAATAAACATAAAAGGAGCTTTAGCAATACATAAAGTACAAAAACACCATAGGAAACTGACATTTAAGCACCTGTGTGAAAATAACGTCAAGGGTCTAGTTTAAACTGGTATACATTAGGAATATTGAGAGATGAAGCCTAATCTTTCATTCTTAATTCACCTTTTTTAGTCCTCTGTATCATTAATGCAATGATCCCTTAGGGGCATTAGATAAATGGGTAATCTTGTATATTAGTAAAGGATCCAGTTTTGTTTTTACATCAATTGCAGCTTCGTAGGCAGGGTGATTATAGAATCCAGTCCTAAAGGTATTGAAACAAATTACTATCGTTTTCTATTAAAATTTACACCCAGAAACACCAGATGGAGGTTTTATTTCTGTTTTTCATTAAAAAAAAATCACTGAGATTGGTCTCAGAAATAAACCCCGTTTGTGGCTCTCATGGTATTGTCATTATGCACTTTGAATCTTATGTTTAGACTATGGGGAGTGAGATTTAGGACTTCTGGATTTCCTCTATATTTTATTGACTCACTGTGACCTAGGCAAATCACTTAAAATGACACTCAGGTTAAAAAGTTGGTATATTTTTTTATAAAGGTCCTTAACTATGTTATTAATCCTGTTAGAATATTAAAACAAAACAATTCCAAACATGTAATTTAAATTTTCTCTCTTCTCATCCTCCCACTCCCGACCTCTCTGTCTCTGTGGCACACCCTAGTATTTCTTACCTCACTTAAAACGGCCTAACTTCTAGTGCAAACTGTACACTTTTCAGCATCACCAATCATCCTACAAAAACAAAGCTTCCCTGCACATAAATGGGGTGCAACCAATTACATTTAGTAATGTTTTTTTTATCCCCAAACTGAGAGATTTTTTTCTTACCACAGTATTTGGCTCTTTATGCTTCTTCATACTGTGTAACTCAGTGCTTAAAGTTAAGAAGTGTGGTTTTATTACTGATTTTGTAGTAATGGAACTTTGTTGATTTCTGATGACCATTTCTCCTCCTCCCCCCAGATATTCTTTTTTCTGGGATGGGCTGTAAATAGATCTCTTTTCTGAGCCCCGCAAAAGGACCACAGTGGAAATGTTTAAACAACACCAATAAAAACGAAAGGCTTGTTCCACAAGGAAATAGGGGTTCACATTTAATCCACATCTAATTCTTTATTACCAGTCCTGTACTGAAAGCACTGTCATTCAGTGGGGCCTATTAATCCTTTGGTTTTCAAGTAGGGCCTTGCTGCATGACAACGTATGCTAAACCACCATAGACTATTACCTCATTTGAATGGTCAAAGGTAGAACATACATGGGGTCGGATGGGTTAATGGGAGTTGTGCTCACACATTGAGGAAAGAATAGGAGAAACTTGTATGTATAGAACTTCTGCCTCCCACACTCTTACAATTCTACATCTTGTTAGCTGGCTATCGTGAAGTAGACTAAGAGTTATAACCAGTGGGAAAAAAATCAAAAAATGTAACTTTAGACACCAGTAGAAAAATAAGATAATATTCAGTTTCCACTTCTCAACATTTGTTTCAAACAGTCTAGTATATGGGGCCTATCTGATAGCAAGTTTGTGACCTCAGTTCAGTTCCAAGTGGACAAGCATTCACATCATAAAACCCCCATCATAACAGGCACTAGCTGACAGCCTTTTTGCCAATCTTCACAGAAAGACAGGTGACTGACATGGCATGGAGTCACAGATTCCAAAGCCAGAAGGGACCATTGTGATCATCTAATCTGACCTTCTGTATAACCAGGGCCGGCTCCAGGCACCAGCTGAGCAAGCAGGTGCTTGGGGCGGCCAAGGGGAAGGGGCGGCACGTCGGGCTCTTCGGTGGCAATTCGGCGGAGGGTCCCTTAATCCCTCTTGGAGGGAAGGACCTGCTGCCAAATTGCCGCCGAAGAAGAAAGAGGCGCGATGGAGCTGCTGCGGATCACGGCTTTTTCTTTTTTTCCCCCGCCGCTTGGGGGCGGCAAAAACCCTGGAGCCGGCCTTGTATATAACACAGGCCATAGAACCTCCCTTGCACAGGGCTTCCTTTCAAGGAAATCCATCCAGATGAGGGTTGAGACACAGTGGCATGGTAATATAGGGAAACTGAACACATTATGTGGATAAATACAGACTTTAGCCTCCAGAGCTGTCACTTTGGCACCTGCCATGGGCACGACTTTTCCAAAATTCTCTTTCTTTATTATGCTCACTAGGGTTAGAAATGAATTCCAGGCACTGAGAACACAGAGTCCTCTCTCTCTCAGGCGCATATGCACTTAGTATTTTTAGGGAAAACATCACTTTAAACAGCAAAGAAAGATATTGTATTCTAGGAATTAGGGTCTTTTAACCTTTTTTTTTATTGTATTCATGTTGTTGTTGTTCCAGACATTTCCAATTAAATATATTTTGTTTGCAATGCATGTTCTTGGATGATTTCTTAGCCATGACTCAAATGTTCTGGTGATCATCTCATGAACAGGCTTTATGATGATGTTTGATGGAAGCATTCCAATAATGGTTTTTTGGGGGGGGGGGGGAAGAAAGCTGCATTTGAGCAAACAGTATCAGAGCAATATATAACAGTTTGCTCAAATGCAGCTTTGTCCCCCGCCCCGCCCCCCCATGAATTTTGTCTAAATGCTCACTGCCAGTTATGTAAAAAGGTTTTTTTTTATTTGTGTCCTCTTTATATGGAAATATTTGAACTAAAACTTAAAAAAAATACTGAAGTTGAAAGTTATTGCAAGATCCTATAGTTCATATGTAAGGAATTTTGCCCGTATCTAGTTCTAGGAAGCCCTAAAATGGGATTTTGAGTGACTTTACCATTAGCTACCACAGTAAAAGCTTTCTTATCCAGCATGTTGAGAGAATGGGGGGTGCCAGTAAGTCAAAAATTCCAGTTAACTAAGAGGGAGGGAGTTTGGGTGCAGGAGGGGTTTTGGGGTGCCAGATCCAGGCAGTGTTCACCTCGGGCAGCTCCCTGCAAGCAGCGACATGTATAGAGAGGCGCGGCCAGGCAGCTTTGCGCGCCGCCCCCACCTGCAGGTGCCACCCCCGTACTGCCATTGGCCGCGGTCCCCAGCTAATGGTAGCTGCAGAGCCAGCGCTCAGGACAGGGGCAGCACATAGAGACCCTGTGGCGATTCCTAGGAGCATTGACCATGGCCAATGGGAGCTGTGGGGGTGGCGCCTGCGGGCAGAGGCAGCACAGCCTGGCCACATGTCTCTGGACATGTCGCGGCTTGCGGGGAGCCGCCCGAGGTGAGCACCACCCAGATCTGGCACAACGAAACCCCTCCTGTGCCCCAACCCCTTACCCCATCCTGTACCCAAACTCCCTCCCAAAGCCCGTGCCCTGCACCCCCTCCCAAAATGCCAGTTTATAGAGCTTTCCGGTTTGTGAGTGCCAGATAACACAGCTTTTCCTGTATATGGACTAGGGTAGGAGGATATCAGAGGGAGCTATGTTCAACTTTCCCAGGTCAATAAAAGGATTACCATGATTCACAGCCTGTAACGAGGGGCAAATGGATGGACTCCTACTTTCTCATGGGGAAAATAAAAACACGACTTATTTGTTCTCCCGCACAATCACTCCTTCCCCAGCTCGTTCACAGTTTGCAATAATATGGGCAATTTGTTCATCACCTTTAATATTTCTCCTCACCTCCCCTGCCAAGTGGCTTCTGTATTTACACACACACGTCTCGGTATGAAGCTCCCACTGGTCTCCCCCTTTCCATCTTCTTCCTGTTTAGAAAAGGGGAAAAAGGTGGTGGGGGGAGGGAAAGAAATACTTTATTGTTGCCACTTCCAGCCTCAGAACTCTGGTCTACAAGGGGCTGCAATTTGAACCCTCACTATTAACAAATCTCAAGGACTAAATCTGCCTACAAGACCCTCACATGTCCTTGTGACCACAAGGCCTGACTATTTTAATGCCTTCTTAGCAAGGCTTTCAGAAAAGCTAACTGAGAATGCGCACACACACCTGTTTTTTGTTTTTAAATTCCACAGTGATCACTGTCACAGTTACTGTGGGGTTCCATGCGGAGCGGATAAAGCACACAACCAATGTGGTTGCAAGCTGAATCCGAATTCTGTTTATTGCAAGCTTTCTTTTATAGTTTTTCTCTACGTTACATAACACAATTAGGCTATAATAACACATCTACGGATTGGACAAGAAGGAGAATCATGTGTTTATCACATGTATAGCCCCACACCGATTGGTTCAACCGTTCCTTACATAAGGCCATGATTTGTTTACCTCATCTTATATAATACTAGACCACCAGGGGGCCTTACATAAGGCCATGATCATCTTATATAATCCTAGACCACCAGGGGGCCTTACATAATGCCATGATTTATTACCTGGCAAGTGTCCCATCGTGACCCTTACCTCCTCATGGAACTTTTCATTAGGTTGGTGTAGGGATGATACATCCCCACAAGTTACAGGGATAGCTGCACGTCTGCCCCCTCTGAGTGCATCCCTTTGGATGTCAGCCCCCATGCCTTTACCTCTCCTGGGATGGAATCACTCGATTCTCCCACTCTTAGACCAGGCCCCGGGCTAACAGTACTTTGTATGTCGACCATGGTTACCCAGCAGATCTGGCTGGATACGCTACCTGTGATTATTATGCTTGGTAGCCTGTGACCAGTGGTGAACAGAGTTTCCAGACAGCCTTCTTAAACCAAAGTATAGTCTAATCTTGAAAGTAGGACTAAAGCTGTCACCATGACTCAGTGGGTCACAACTGAGAATACCAAATTCAGGACAAACTGCTGAGAAATAGACATACTCCAAAACTGGTGCTTATTCTTCCATAAGATATACCAAACCACAACAAAAGTAAACTTCTGTCTCACCACATTGGCTAACAAGAGGTCAGAAATGAAGCCTCCTTAGGTATTCCAGTTCTGGATTCAACACCAAGATTTAATGATGAGTGGTTATTTAAAATCAATTTAATCAAGCAAAGGATTCTTTCCAAAGGACCAGCCCAATATACAACTCAGATCTTACCCAATATTCCTGCTGTTGCCAATCCTTTAGTATCTAATATCTAAAGGTTTATTTATTAAAAAAAAAAGTGGTGAGAGTTAAAATTGATTAAAGGAATCAAATACATACAACAATTGCGGAGTTCTTGCATCAGGTTTGGAGCAGTGATGGAATAAACTGCTAGCTTAAGTCAAGTCTCTGGTTGCTTCCAAATAATTGGAAGGTCCTCAGTCCCCTACTTAGAATGCTTCCATTAGTATAAGTCCATAGTCCAGAGGTTAGAGCAGGAAAGAGGCAAAATGGAAATGGTTCCAGGGCCTTTTATAGCTTCTGCCACATGGAGGGAAAGATCTCAGTTTCAGGCACACAAGATGGAGTTCAGTCTAGTCACATGCTCTTGCATGCTTCGATGAATCATAGCAGAGGCTGTTACCCATATTCTAGCTAGAACATCCACAGGAAGGCCCATCAGGTAGAGATAAGCCTCTTCTATGGTGCATTGTGAGTTAAGTGTTTTTCAATGGGCAATTCAACTTGAATAGTCCCTTCACACTGTGCTGGCTAAACTAGATGTAGGTACCTTGTGGGTGTTACCCAGGAGCAAACATTTGAAATACAGGTACATAGTCAATATTCATAACTCCTGATACAAAAATGATGTATGCAAATAGGATAATCATATTCAGCAAACCATAACTTTTCCATTCACACCTTACAGGACATACTTCATACAAGATTTGTTGCAATCGTATAACAGTAGTAGCAACAATCATATAACATCACAAAAGCATAAGGATTTTTAAAGAGAGAATGGATATTAATACAGAAAGTGGTCTACACATATGTCTATCTTACCTCAAGTCCTACCATCCTTGGATAGAGACCCTACACGGGCCTCACTTTTCCAGCGACCCCTCACCTCTGGGGTCTGGTTGTCAGTCTATTTCCCCTATCTCTCCTTCTGCTTGAGGCAGTGTGACCTTTTAAATCTAGACAGGGTCTTTGTTCTCAGGTGTTCACAAGCTTGGATACCCCCCTTGACAAACTAGTCCAGGGAGCTCAGCAGAGGGACAGAGGCTCTTGCATTGTTGCTTCAGTGTGGACATCTTGAGCCATTTGTTTAGCCTTCTTGTTTGCTTCCCAACAGTCCTATTGATTTAACCCAGTAGTCATACAGTAGACATCCTGATAACCAGGTCAACATACAGAATTAATAAATTACTACAGAGTATCAGAAAGGTAGCCGTGTTACTACAGAGCAGCCCCACTTCTGCCACAATCATATTATGCTGACCCTGCATTCTTTATGTGGGCTAAGGGGGGAGGCCAGTTAGCCACACTGTGGGAGGACTTGGGTAATTTTGAGGTTTTGTCCATGAGCCTCATACTGGCTGGTAGCCATGCTCAGGCACCGTCCCCATTTTAGGAATTTCACCACTGCACCTTAGGTTATCCTTTTCCTCAAAGGATTTAACCTCCTAGGGCTCCCTCCTACGGCGGTCTAATCTTGATGCTTGACCTTGAGGGATAATGATGCCTCTTAGTTTACTTCTCTAATTCTACTTCCATAGCTCACCATAGATGACCTCAACAGAGAGGCTGTAGTCTAGTTTGGAAAAAAAATGCTTTGCTTTCTGGCTGTATTTATTCTCGCTACAGTCCTCCTTCCTGCCTATCATGCAAATAGCATTGTCTCAGAGGAGTCCAAGGTTCAAAGTCTTCATTCTCTCACTGCAGGATGGCTTCTCCACACTCCAGAAGGCTACACAAACTGGCACTGTCTGATAGTAAATTCTATGTGAGCAATAAGTATTATCTGCAAAGCATTTTAACAAACCTTTGCAAATCAATCATCATACCGCCCCCCACTTAGGGCCCTAAGAAAATACTATTCCCCTTTGTACTGAAGGGGAGGCTGAGGCATAGAGAAATTAAAAGACTTGTTCAAGACCATCTAGTGAGGCATTGGCAAACTGGGATTAAAGCTCAGAAGTTTCTGCCTTCTGGTCTGCTCAGCAAGTTAAGCTGTTTCATGTACATTGGGGTTGTAATACCTTATGTTCTGAATACAAAGGAAGTTCTTCAACATCAAATATATGCTCTTTGAAGAAGGGGGTTTAATTGTTTTTGCAAGGTACCCAGAATACTTATGTTCACTTAAAAGTAATCTAGAATAATTGACAGTGCATTCACGGTGCTTGGGAATATTTCAGTGTTTTCCTATTTGTTTTTGTCAGAGCTGCTGGAGTTATACTAAGTGCAGCCTAATTGGAAAAAAATTGAGCAGCCCAATGCTGGACTCAGGTTTGCTTTTGGGTTTCTTGCTCGGTTCAGTACTTCGTTCTTCTCCCAATAACAGAGGAGGATGAAGGTAAGAAGCAGCAGTGAAGTCTGCCCCTTATGGGAAATGCTATGATGCTTTTTTGTGTGCACGTGGACTAGCTCCTGCTGGTCTTTCAAAGCAAAGGCAATTGAACTCTCTCTGAAGCAGATTTAATTGGTTTTAAGACAGAGCAATAAAACTGCTTGACTCCCCCCCGCGTCCCCCCCCAAACCCACAATAATCTTGATGCTCTTTTCCCCTTTACCTGAAAAAGGCCAGAAAAGTTTAATAGCAATAACTATAAAAAGAAAAAGGAAGTAAACAAGATGCTTATTCCCTCAGAAAGAGCCTTAGCTCCCCTTTACCTTGCTACAGTAGCACATATTTATTCTGTCTGCTTTGGCACCAGAAATTTAAATTTAAATAAAAAAAACAAAGAAACAAACAAATCCCCCCCCCCCCACCACACACACCAAGAATTTTTCTCTCCTTTTAACCTTGGTCTGTAAACACACATACAAGAAGACTGACAACCTTTTAAAGCAATAAGTTTTATTTGCCATAAAAGCATTTACTCCTGCTATCAGCTGAAATGAAATTTACTACTAAAGGAAAGAATAAAACGTCAAGTGTGCTTTTAGAAAGTTCAGAGTAAGCAGCATGTAAATAAGACCGCCCCTGCTAAAGGCCTTTATTTCTTTGATATGTAAATAAAGCCACACCCTCTAAGGCCTCTCTATCTTTGATGTGTAAAGGAGGCCACCCTCTCCCCTTCTCCCTCTAGGCTTTTAAACTGCTCAAACAAGTATTCTGTTCCTGTGCCTGCAAGGTCCTGCCTTCCAGCTCTATGATCCTCTGTCGTTTTTGTCTTTTTGACCTTTTGCCCACCACACACTACAGAAAATGGTTTAATTAAAGTATCAGATGGCCTCCTCCTAATCAAATCTAATGGCCTTTTCTCTGTCCTCATCTTTTTAGGTCATTGTGGTGCCTGGGCCATTGCTGACCACGCCCTTTTCATTCATTGCTCTCCCGACTTCTGTCTTGGTTCCCTTTGGTTCCTGCTCCATCCATCTGTTGGTTTTCCTGAGAGCTCAATCCTCAGCCCCCTTCTCTCCATCAATGCTGTCTCTCAAGGTAATCTTATTCATTCCCATCTCACTTTTACAATGTGAAATCAAATGCATTTTTTCACCCAGTGTCTCTTGTCCATCTCCCTCTCTTCTATTGCTACCTGCCAATATTTTAACCCAAACTCTTATCTCCTGACTTGACTTTTGCATCTTCCTGCTCTTTGGAGTCTTGCTTCCCCAGGATCTAAGACATTCAGAATGCTGCTAAGATCACGATCTTCTCCCATTATTCTACGGTATGTCTTGCCCCTTGTTGAGTCTCTGCACTGGCTTCCATTCT